ACCTGGGTGCTCTGCTTGATCTGCACCTGCAACGGAACGTGCTCCTAACTCCGGCCTCACTGGATCATCTGAACTGTGTCCGTCAATCCGTCTGGCAGCTGCTCTACGCAGACTGCTATCGAGCATTGACCGAACGCTGTATGCCCTGGATATGGCCGCTGGGGCTGGAGCTGCAACTCCATGCAGCTGCTTGTTTGTTGCTGATGTTGGCTTCAGTGCAGCCGCGATTCGCGGCGCTCATTGGTGGCGCCCTCTATGCACTCTCCCTGTTGGCCGCCACACTCTGGCAATGGCAGTCCCGGGGTGTCTCACTTCATCCCACATCCTTGGAGCAGCAGCTGGCACGTCACAATCTTGTATTGAGCAACGTTTTCTTGCGCATCGCCGCCTATATTCTGGGTCTCTGCCTAGGAAATTTGCTGTGGCGTTGCGGACAGTTGAGCGTACCGATCAATGGATTTCTCATGGCAAGTGGTAAGCTTCGGAAATCCTCCTTCTTACCATATTAACACGAATATTCTTCGTTTTAATCTTTAATAAAAAAAACTAGAAAAGCCTAAGTAGGAGAAATCTAATCTAATACATAGAGTTTTAAGGGTTACAGTAAATGTAGTTCACAGAAGTTTGCAAGTCCATATTGAACCTGGGACCACACTTCAAATGGACCTATTGTTATTACTACAATAATTATAAAATGTTTATTATTATATTCCCTTTTCACATCCAGCGCACTCTCCTAATAACATAGCTGGTACCCGCAGCTGATTTATGTTTATCAAAACACTCAAACTCAAAACACAAAACTAACAGACTGGTTTATTTTAAATGTTTCATACTAATTTTTCCCGTACAAGAAGTTCACTTGAGAATCAAATTTTCCACAACCGCTGTTTACTGATTCAATCGCTAGAGAAAAACTATTGGGACGCAACAACTAAGAAGCAAACTATTGCCTCTCACCTAAGCTCTGGCAAATCGAGAATAATATTGTGAAATTTCTGAAAAATTAAATAATAATATTGTGAAATTTCTGATAAATTAAATAAATAAATTGTGGCCTCGCCCTCCTCTGCGTTGCTCATACCAAGAACCTAAGCGCTGGCATCTCGAGAATTAAATTGTGAAGTTTCTGAAAAATTAAATAATAATATTGTGGAACTAAATTGTGAATTTTCTGATAAATTAACTCTTTCCTAAATACTATGAATATAGAATGTTCTATATTGGAATCGAATTTGGTTTCAATAAGTTCCTTAAAATGTCTCACCACACTCTGAAGTTTTATTGAAATCTATATCATATAGCTGTTTATGTAGGGCATAAAAAAGCCATTCTACTTGTTGAGCATATAAATATATGGAAATAGAATTTTTGGGAGAGGATTTAGAAACGGCATAACAGGAAGCTCATTGGACTCTGCCGTGCATCAAGATTTAGTTGAAGCTCTAAAGAGCCTACAGAATAACGCTATCTCTTTCCAAGCTTAGGTGAAGCTCAATTAAGTTACCTTTTTACTCTTTACAGGTTGGCTTGCCGCTGGTCTTGTCGCCTGCTTCGCCCTATTTGGTTACCGCCAGTTATTGCCGCTGCTGACCCCTCTACTTACTGCTGCGTGCACAGCTGGAGCACATACCTATTTGTCGCTACTGCTGCTCTGGCTGTTGCTCATCTGGCGGAAGGTGTCCCTGCCTGGATTTGTTCATGCTGCGGCACGCCTCACGCCCGTCTGCGTATTGCTTGGACCGCTGATTATTCGCTTTTTTATGTTCGCCCCGGGCACCCGACTCGCCGCTGGAGCAATCGACGCCAATATCACACAGCTGGCAAGTACTCATGCATATCGATTTGGGTCCACGCACTTATCAGACAATTTTACGACAGCTCCTACTCTGTCTGGGCCTATGCTGCTTTCTCTACATTGCTGCAGCAACGCTTTATCTTCTGTTGACAGCCCCCCTGTTTTCGTTAGTAGAGCAATTATCTATACTGCACGAGCCACAGCAACAACAACAGCAAAAGCCATTAGAGATCTAACGACAAGTACGGGATTTGGCGAATTGGGTTCATCACCCAACTGGCAAGTGCCTCAGTAATTAAGCTTAACGGCGATTCTAAGCCATGTCTTTCGTGCATCCAAGTCACAAACCGAAAAGCTTAATATGCAAGCGAAAGCGCTTGGAGAAGCTTAAAGCCATAGATGGCGCTGCCGACAACTAGCGCTCAATTCAAGCATTTCGTTCGATTATTATGTACACCTAATTCTGTTTTTACACGGTCTTTTTTACACGATTTTGATTATATCAAAAAAATTAAAAATTCAAAATTGCATATATATTTCTTTACAAATAAGGAACCAATCACCTATTTTTACATATGCACATACAATGTCTTTTTTAACACGGTTGTTTCTGGAACCACTCTACCGTGTAAAAACAGAATTAGTTGTACATTTAAGACTTTATTCCATTTAGCACAATTTAAAATTACATATTTTTATATTTTTTTACACGACTTTTTCTGGAACCAATCTACCGTGTAAAAACAAATTAGGTGTATTTGAATACATTTTCAACAAATATTATAACAAGAATTAGTGGAAATATCAGAGACTATGTGCCCTGTACACCTGTGTCCGCAAAAACCCAATGTTTTCCCAATTTGTTTGGAGATCTGAGCTCTAAGTGGAGGAAATTCGCAAAATTCCTGCGATTTCCGGAGCAGGAACCCCTGCTGTACTCGTATTATACTTGTATGTTTGTATCTGTGCAGTAAGCTCTTCAAATTTGAAAACTTCTGATATGGGTATACAGAACATTGCTCTGGACCACTTGGATAAGATGTCTTAAATGAATGTTTCTGCAGGCTTGGTAAGCAATATTGGCATTGTAGTATGATATGACGAATGAAATCTATGTCGAAATGTCCTTCAGTCTGTTCAATCAGCTAAATAACCTCCATCATGGGGATTTTCTCTTGACGGAAACACAGTATAACTGGTTCTGATTAAGAATATGAAGATTAAAATAGAGTTCTTAAAAAAAAAATGCTTTATACAAGTATATAAAATGATTGGAGCCATTTTGCACATTAAGAATGTTGTTCTCATATCAGACATTGTTCCATCACGCGTTAATCGTGAACGGTTGCCATGGTCGACCAAACGTGGAGTAATACTTAGAACAAGTTGAAAAAAATGTATGTACGTCCCTAGTACACTTCCACATTTACTTCAAATTTCAATTTTAATTGAAACCATGAAATGTAATTAATGCACTCTTAAAAGTGCATTTTAAATATTCAACTAATAAATGAACATACTTTATTTATTTAATATATTAAAGATTTACAAGATTTATGGAGACGTTTTCCTCCAAATTTAGAAAATATTTTTCTTAAATTTAATTACCTTAATTCCAAATTTGACCATTAAGTGGATACAGTGTGGATACATTCTTACATACATGGATTTCAATTTACAATTACTATGAGCTCGTCGATTATAATATGATTGGACTTAATTACCCAATTGTTGCCCATTTATTTAACGAACCTCTGAAAAAAGTAAAATGAACATTGATTCAAAAAAGTATTCTTCGGTTCGCCATTAACTCGAAGGTAAGAGAGATATAAAGGGGTACTATATCGTTCATTATGAAGGCTGCTAAGTACTTAATGTTCTGAAAAATATTATTAAAACTGATTTTTTTTTTTTCAGAACCAATTCTTGTTTGCTCGAAACAGGAATAAAAATGTAAAAAGAAATGGACAATGCTTGTGAATGTTTTCGATGGTTCAATTTTTACGATTTAAATTTGATTTAAAGTTTCGCTTACGTGCTAGTATCAATGATGAATTTCATGAAGGTCGACCAATGACGTCAAGGGAAGCGGAAAACATTGATGCTGTGCGTCACACGATTGAAGCAGATCGACATTTTTCGCATAATGTGTACGAGTAGGCACAATCCCGATGTAAATGTATCTGCTTTTGAAACATATGTCTATACCCATATTTTATACATTTTATTGAATTTGAATTTAATTTAAATTAATTTTTTGTAGATTAAACAAGTAAAAAAGCTAAAGTCGAGTGTCCCGACTTTGAAATACTCTGTACATATGTTTAGAATTATTATAGAAATTAAAAAAGATCGGGGAAAAATAAAAAAATAAAACAAACTCGTATAGCGTACACACATAAGGCATCTTTGTGCAAAATTTGGTGTCTCTAGCTCTTATAATCTCTGAGATCCAGGTGTTCATACGGACGGACAGACGGACAGACTGACAGACGGTCAGACAGACAGACAGGGCTAGATCGACTCGTCTTGTCATGCTGATCAAGAATATATATGCTTTGTGGGGTCTGCCACGCCTCCTTCTGCCTGTTACATTTCTCACTTCCCGCAAACCTAATATACTCTTGTACATTTCATGTACAGAGTGTAAAAATACTTTTTACATACTTACAAGTACATATGCATGTCTGATAAATTAAAGCCAATGCCTTTGTACAACATTATAGGAAAAATGTGAACGGCGAATACTTTTATAAAGCACTGTATGTAGACTTAAATGCATTACTAAGCATGACAACGCTCTAAATACTTTTTTGTCGCTAAGGCGAATGGACGCTCGTGTTACTTTCAATAGACCTTTGATCTGTTCTCCGAAATACTTGTACAAAATACTTTACGATACAAAACAAACTGTTCCTATACAAAATAAAATCTAATTACTATACGTTACAATAAATATGCTATTTTTCGTAGTGTTCAGACTTTACTTCAATTATCTTGCAACTATAATAATTCTCATAGTTCTATTACTAAAAATATTCCCAACAACATTTCTATTACAATAATTTTTGAAGTGCTATCAATGAACAATTTTGAAAACAATTACTTTAGAGAACGATTAAAGAAACTTACCGTTTAATGCGTTTGTTAGCGCAATGAAAAGTTCACGAAGAAATAAATAAAAATTAAATAATGTTGCCTTTTTTATTTTATAAATATTTTTTTTACCTACTTTGTGTGTATATATATATATATAACGATTATATAATAGCTAACCTATCATTATTTGTCGTGCTCATGTGATTTATCGTTGAAGCTCTATGGAGCAATGTCATCACATGATAATGAAATATCAAATGTTTTTGCAAGTGCATTTGCAAAGTCACACTTAGAAACTAGCGAAAGAAAATATGAATAAGACAAAAAAACAACGGAGTAAAAGCAATACCAAAGGTACGGGGCGCATCGGCCCCCAATCGCCCGGCAACACCTGACACTAACTTAAAGCTAACTGTTCGGAATTCTGTTTTTTTTCAGCCTTGTGCTCCTGGTAGCGCTGCAGAGGCGGTATGGCGAACATGACCACCCCACTGATGGCAATCATCAGGCCAGCCATGATGAATGCCGGCGAATACGATTTGGTGATGTCGAACATCCAACCTATATAGTAGATAGTAGATAGCAGATAGTAGAAGCGTTACAGACATCATTGCGACAGAGGAGGTTGGCATATCTTACCGCCAATTGGTGCCCCAATGAAGCTGGCGATGCCTTGAAATAGCAAAAGTAGTCCGAAGGCATTGGTTAACTTCTCGAGGCCCAGCAGATCGACCAGAATGACCGAAGTCAGACCCACATAGGCTCCAATTGTAAAACCGAAGACTGAGCAGTAGAGGGCCAGCGAGTTAAAATCATCGCACAGAGGCACTAAGACAGTGGCTGAAAAAATGCAATTTCTGTTAGCAATGAACGTTCATGAACTAGTACTTGAATAAGCACTTGTTCCCAAAACCCACCTATACCGCACGCCGTCAGACATACATTATAAACAAGCAGTCGATTAACCCACGGCTTGTCCGCTATGTAGCCCAAAATAATGCGGCCAACAGTGTTGGCAACACCAATGATGGCAATGAGGTAGCTCGAATCCGTGCTGCTGATGTTCAGCGTCTCTGCCTGAGAGACGATATACACGTAGGGCAGGTTAAAGCCGATGCTGGTGCAAAAATTCGAGACGGCAAAGATGATGAAGACGACGTCCTTCAACAGCGAGAAATTCATCATTTCGGCGAAGGTATCGCGCGTCTCCTTCGAACAGCTGATGCAGCCGCAGCATTTTTCAATCTCCTGTTGGATAAAATGATGGGAACTAATCAGTAAAAACCAGCTTAATCACCAGGCGGTTAATTCGCAACCCATTTGCATAATTTCTTGTTGCGCACATTTCAAGTTGCGCTGATGTTTGCTATGTAACTATAAATAATTCATGCCTATACCGCACGCGTACACCTCAAAAACAATCAGCAGCGTTGTCAGTCTGTCACAACGCGCAACGAGTAAAGACACTAAGCCATGACTGTTTGCGAATTTTTCGAGGACGCCGAAGTATTTATTACCGGCGGTTCTGGTGTTGTTGGTAAAGCTGTAGTCGAGAAACTACTAAGATCCTGCAATGTGAAGTGCATCTATTTGTTGCTCCGTACTCGCAAACAACTGAGCGCCGAGCAACGTTTGCAGAAGATATGTGAAGACAGCATCTTCGAAGTTTTACGCGAGCAGAAACCAAATGAGCTACGCAAGCTGGTTGCTATTCCGGGTGATGTGGCCCTGCCACATTTGGGTATTGAGCCAGAGAACATGAAGCGTATGGCACAGGTGTCTATAGTATTTCACTGTGCAGCTACGGTGCGCTTTGATGAGCCAATAAGAGTGGCACTGCAGCTTAATGTCGGTGGCACTTTCGAAGCCTTAAAGTTTGCGGAGACATTACTCCATCTTCGCGTGTTTGTGCATGTCTCTACGTTTTTCAGCAATCCCTATTTGGATACTGTGGAATCCAAGGTGGGTACCGAAATGATATGAAAACGAAAGTGCCTTAAAAGTGTTTGGACAAACCAAATAAACAATAACCAGGGAACTGAATAAGAATTTAGGTTTATTAATGAGACATGAATTCATTCATTCATTTATAGTTAATTTTCCAAAGTAGGGAAGTAAGCTTATAACATCAAAAGAAAAATGTATTATAACATTATAGAATTCTAGAGTCGAGTTGGCTCAACTCTTAAATACCCTGTATACGCTCCCACAAAAGCAAAAAACTAATTTAAAAAAAATTTTTTTACTCAAATTTAACAAATTAAATAAGGTTGATCAAATTCAAAATACCTAGCACGTACATACAAGTAGAGTAGTACAGATTTAAAAGAATACATTTTTTTACCTCAATATTGTAGCTATGCGTGTCCGACTCTGTGATCGTTGAGCAAAGCGGGGAGTGGGAGGCATCCGAAAAAAAAAACACAAACTCGTATTTTATCGAACTTAGGAGAGCCTGAATACCTAGTTTGGTTATTCTATCACTTTTACTTTATGAGAACCTTGCGTTCATACAGACGGACGGACGCACATACATTCGCACAAACTTAGTATACCATTTAAACTATTGGGTACAATATGTATGTATGTATAAAAAGCACGAAAGTTGCAGTCGAGCAAGCACGACAACACATCAACCTGAGAGATGGAAGGCAAAGCTTTAAAAACGCTGAGCTGCGTTAGTTAATGAGTTACATTCTGTGTTCACAGTACTATTCCTCACCAATGGAATGGCGCAAATGTCTCCAGCTAGCGCAGACTATCAAAGACGATGACATGCTCAATGCTCTAACGAGAAAGTAGGTTGCTCGTTCAACAAATTCCCGCAACTTTCTAACTATTTCATTTTACAGGCTTATTGTAGGTTTTCCAAACACATACACCTTTACCAAAAACCTGGCTGAATCACTTATCAATGATTATCGCACGCGGCTACCAGTAATTGTATACCGACCATCCATAGGTGCGTCCTTGTATTCACCAATTTCCCCAAATTCCCCAATTTCGACTCATCCGTTTATCTTTGTGATAGTGCTCTTTTCCATACGTGAACCAGTGCCTGGCTATGCGCCCTCGCTAACGGGTGCTATGGGTCTATTTACCCTGGTGGGCTCGGGCTTATTGAAAACGGTATATCTCGGAGAAAACATACACCTAGATCTTACGCCTCAAGATGTGGGAATTAAGGCTCTACTTTATTTTACGCAACAAGGCAATGAGACATACAAAAAGGGGTTAGTTCTGCATAATGTATAGTCCAAAACGTAATCGTCGCACTCTTATTTCCCCTAGCATACCTGATGAACTTCTGGTCTACCAGGTCTCATCCTGCACCCTCATACCATTCACATTTCAGCAAATTGCTGAGGAAATGGACAGACAAGATGTTTGGTATGGTGCTGCATTCGAGAAGCAATTATTACTACCAGGTTGCATATACACGGACAACAGCTGGCTATATCACTTTCTGGTCTTAACAAAGCAGATACTTCCCGCTCTATTCGTCGACATGCTGCTTATTCTGAGCGGTCGCAAGCCCGCTGTCATGGGCATTGTGCGTAAATTGTACCTTACCCTGAAGGTGATGCAACCCTTTATGTTCAATAACTATAGCAGTTCAGGTATAACCGGATTAAAGCAACTTTTAGACGACACCAGGGGGTAGGCAGTCCTTTTAACAGTAAAAAATTTTAATGTATAAGCCGTCTAATACTTTCCAGCACTATCTGCGATCTGGATGATGAGTATCTGCTTACCGTTACTAACGAGCGCATTATTGCAGCTTGCAAGGATATGCTGCATAGTATACGGCGTCACAGGCTCAAAGAAGATCCGAGTACACTGCGACGCTCACAACGTATTATGCAGATGTGAGTCGCACACCGACGCATTACCTTTCTAGTATCTATCTCTATCTATCTTTAAACTCCTTACAGTAAGGTCGTGATCTACAACGTGGTTCGCCTGCTACTGCTCTACAAGCTTCTAAGTTGGCTATGGCGTATTATCTTCCCTAATTGAGTTGCTCGGCCTGCTCTCTGCTGCTGGATTTTTAATAATTTTTTTTTTTTTTTGTTTTTTACTAGCATTACACATTTCCTGTTTCAATCCAAATATATACCTCAAAATTAAAAAGCAGACCCATGAGCTATTGCGCGAAGCGTCAACGCCCCAGCTGCGACGACAGCTGCAATACCTCGCTTTCTCAGCGTCTGCTAAGGCAGCTCGGCCTCGTGTCCCTGTCCGGTCTACGTCCAACGCAACTTTTCTATTTTACTCTTCGTTTTCTAGCCTCAGTGCTGATCCTAACATATCTGGTTGTGCTTCTGGATGAATACCGATCACGCGTGAAGGGCTGTCCCCCTAAGCGGGAACAGTGGACTCAGCTGGGCGAAAAGGCATTCGAGAAACTGGACGAGCAATGGGAGGCACTACATCGGACTATAATTCCAACTGTAGCGACAGCACCATGTCCGCCACCAAAGAAGAATTGCTGGGTACTTTAAAAAAGAAAAACAAAGGTCGGCTGCATAAAGATACAAGTTTCGAACAATTTTCGTAAATAAACCAACACGAAGCAAGATTTCTGTAGTCTGTTACACGAATCCTTGAAGCCACTTACCTGATTTGGAGTCAGCTGATTGTTCTGCCGTAACGAGCCGTAGCGCTTGATGATGCCTGAACCAGAAAGATCATTGCGAGAGCTCACATACTCGGGTATGTTGTGCAGCGATCCCTAAGTGGTTGGGATGGGTTAATATTAATATAATATAATATTATGGCTTTCCGAATAAGCGTCGCTGCTATTTACCTGATAAAGCGCATCGGGTCGGTACATTGTGCCGCTAGCGGAGTGCTCCCGATGTCCATCACGCAGTGGATTCAGCTGAGGCTGACTAGCGAACACACGTGAAATGTCATCATTGCTAGTGCTTTTAACTGTCATGGGCGGAGCCAAGCCATTCACGGCACTATTCGAGTTATTGTTCTGGAAATGTTACAATCAGAGTAATGTGTCATCGGTAGGGGCTATAATTAAAACGACAGCACTTACCAGACCCGGCTTCAGATTGTGACCTACGCTATTTGAGCGACACAAGGTTGAGCCACTCTCATTGCGTGGCGGCAGCTGCAAGTATTGATCTGTCTGCTTAAGGCAATTTGCTTTCAAAGGCTTCAGTTCTGCAGATGTCGTATTTTGATCTATGATGGTCGTCTTTTTGGACTGCTTGGCAGCCGACGGAGGTGCCTCCAGAGGCCTAAACATGGCACCAAAGATAATGCAGTTGAGCACAACGCCGCCAATGATAAGCATAGCACCCCGCCACCCATAAGACCCAATTAGGTAGTTTGTTAGGGGGGCGAATACAAAAGTGCCAAAGCCGGAGCCACAGACTGCAATGCCCGTCGCCAGGGATCTCCTGGCTTCGAAATATTGCGTCACACTGACAATAGCGGGCAAATATATAAGCCCAAATCCCAGGCCAGTTCCGAAACCAATGGTAAGGATAAGCGTCAGCACATTCTAAATTAAAAAACAAAATTCCCTAAAGTCCCGCCTGGGAGATGGTTGAGTTAAAAGTCTCTTACCTGCGCGAAGACACTGAGTATGATGCAGCTGGCGGCTATTATGGCGCCGGCTATAGTAACCGCTCGACAGCCGTAACGGTTAACGAACGACGAACTAATAGGGCCTATAAACAGGGGGAGCTACATTAATTATCCGCCCAAAAGTTTGTATTAGCTGTCGATACTCACCCGAAGCAAACGTCACTCCCACCATAATGGAAGCCACCCATGCTGTATAACCTTTGCCCTCGTCGAAGTACGTTAAGAACTCGTTGTAGAATATGCCAAAGGAATATGTCATGCCATCAGCTAAAAGTCGGAAGCATTATTTTTTTTATTGTTTGTAGGCGTCATAGAAAAGGGGAACATAATAATTGATTGTCATTCGGACAGTTCATCGAGTCATTAGACAATTGTTGATCTTTGGAGCAAAATCTAATTGTAATTCTCATAGCCTGCCAAAAGCTAAGACTTTATTATTTTTGCGATTTAGGCTTTTTAATGTGGTCTTAGAACCCTATTTTCTGCTGGCATTATATTGTACATTGAGTCATTAGACAATTGTAGATATTTCGAGCATTTTGAGCAAAATCTACATGTAATTCTCATAATTCGAAAGGTAAGGCTTTATTATATTTGCAATTTAGGCTTTTCAATGTTGTAGCAGGCCGTTACTCTAATCACCGTAGAAAGTAAGGATGTATACACTTTTATACTTGGTTTAATAAGCATTAGTGTACACACTGAGAGCATTCCCGCTCTCAGAGGTACACAAGACATACATACATATGTAATAAAGAGAGCATCACTTTTTTTATCGTTCCTTGTGCAAGACAGTTTTGTGAAGTGCTTAGTGAAAATAAATACATACACACATATATATTGAAGGACCTGACTTTGCTACTAAAATGTGGTCTTAGAACCCGCTTTTCTGCAGGCATTGTACTCACATTCTCTATTTTAAGTCTATGTTTAAACGGACAGAAATTGGTTGACTAAAATAAATTTACATAATAATTTATGTTAAAACTTCAAATCTTTTCGATCTTGTTTTCAGAGAAATTTCTATTGAATTGTTTTCGACTTCTTCGATTTTTTCTATTTGCGGGAAGAATTGGGAGCTTAATGTGGTCTCTTCTACAAGCAGTACACTCAAATTCTCTATTTTCAATTAAAGTTTAAACGGACAGAAATTATAGCAACACATAAGGGTATTTCAAAGCACCTTGGTTGGCTAAAATAAATGTCCATAATAATTTCTGTGAAAACTTTGAATCCTTTCCAGCTTTTTTGCAAAGAATTTTTCATTGAATTGTTTTCGACTTCTTAGATTTTTTCTATTTGCGGGAAGAATTGGGACCTGATATTTCTAAGACTAGAAATGCATGCATATTGTAGTTCCGCTTATATGCGTATTATTTAGTAACATTTTTGATACATACTGATACTCTATATACAATGAAAATCTTCAAATGCCCTACAATTATTCAAATCTAAATAAATAAACTAATTCTATATATTTCCGATCTAATTAAATACATTTAAGGTATAATGAAGCTTAACGAACATATTAAAATACATAAGGTATATATTTTTCAGGTCATGCATTTTGACGCAGTTTGAATTATTTAATAAAAATTTGTATTTTTTCGGCCTCCTCCTTTGGCAAAATTTGCGAACGACCTTGAGCACAGTACTCTAACAATATAGTTTTAACTAAGTGTGTGGGCATAAAGCGCTCAGCCAGACAAATCTGGTTTTTGAAGTAGACCTCAACTCTGCGATGGACGTGCTCGTAAATCAGTTAAGTTGGCTATTAATTAAGCACGAACACCTCGTTATTCAACCAGCCCTATTTATCGGTCCCAATTGGCGTCTCCATTTCGGTGGCCCGATCTGGCAGGTATATGATTGTGATTGCGATCAGAGCCCAAGCCATTATCGAACACGAACAGCCAATAGATAGCCCCATGTATTTTCTTATGGCAGACCAATTACTGTGCACGTGTGATAAGATTAACTCGGACAACTATGTATAATCGGTTAAAAAACAACGTCTGATTGCTATACCAGTATGTAACTTGTAGCATACGAATATACTTGTGCATACTATATATAAATTGTATATATATAATAGTGTTGCAACCATTAAGGGAGGCCGTGGATTACCTTTGAATTGCTCGTAAATTTGTAAATTGGAAAATTGATAAATTTAGTTGGCAACAGCTAACCGTATTTATTTATGACAGCCTAAACACTGATATATGTATCTATATGAGTTATAGTGGTCTGCTAATAAAGTGCGGCCGAGTCCGGCAAATAACTAAGCAATCTTTTGATTTATGAATGCACTCCAAGCGTTCCAAGCCTGTTGCCAAGCACTTCCAATTCAACGGCCAACAACAAAATGCCGTTTGAAGGCAGCAGCGAGCTAAGCCGAGCCAGTTGGCACTTGTGTAAAAAAAAATGCTTTCACTTACTGACAATGTGTATCATGAAAGAGCCAAAGACCACCACCCAGCCCCAGCCACCGTCCGGAGGAGTGGGCAGTGGCTCCAGTTCCATGTCGCAGGCCGCGTTCCCATTTCCATTGCTCGCTTGTGATTTCTTGCGAGTGGGCGGACCGTGCACCATTTTAAGTGTTGTACAACACCTATTGCTTTTGTTGTTGTGTTATTATTAGTGTTGGTGCGAATTTCCAGTTATGTGTTTTTATTGTCCTTCCTCCCTGTACTTCTTGTGGGTGTCTTTCTGCGACTGGCACAATCAAGCAGCTGAAGTAGATTCTTATTTGATTGGTCGGTTGATGGCTTCCTTGCCACTAGTACTACAACGTTATGTCTAAAGGCAAATGGCTGAAAATAGATGATAAAAAAAGAAAAAAAAATTAATTCATCTGTTATCTCTAAGTTACGGTACACTTTAAATTTTAAAGTTTAAAATATAAGCAAAAATGGAATGCTAAGCACAATCCCCATATGTATGTAAGCAACTTATTACTTACATATTAAACATATATAAGTTTGTATTTGTATACTACATGTACAAGCTATATATTTTTGTTTTATTATTTCCATTTAATTAATTTGCTTAAATGGTCTGTTACACCTACGAACACATTTATTGGCCTTCTTTTTCAATTGCAATAATTTGTATTGGGCTTATGTTTATGTAGAGTTGAACCAAAGAAGAAGAACAACAACACAACATGGGCATGGATTACATTACAACTATAGCTTCCTTTACCTTAGTAGCTTATAAACCTTATCCTAGGATTACAAGCATCGGGTTACTCTTAAATTATTACGTTAGTCATTACAAATTTGGGTGTACAATTCCAAGAATTGCGAAAGTTATGGAAAATCTCTAATAAGTAGCATCGAAAACGCAAGCTTGGACCTAGGGAAACCTGAATACCTATGTTATATATACTTTCTGATATCTTTATGTTGATATATGTACATACATAGATGGACAAACAAACTTTTTGGGCACAGAATATACAAATATTAGAAACCATTGTTGCATATGATTTAAAAATATTTTAATTTCTTCGCCTAGGCGATACAACAACGATAAAAAGATAATTCCTTAGTGGTCATGAGCGGCGAACTATTCATATACCCTTTCCTTTTGCTTCGAAAGCGCTTTTTGCTTGTTTTGCATTTGCATCTCTCTAAGTATTAAAAACGTGTATACACATTCTGTTTTTAGGGCAGCACAAGTGTGAGAATTTCTGCCAATACTTTTAAGATTTCTACAGTTAAACAAACAGCAACAAAAAACATAAACAAAAAGGTCTATAAAAGGCATTAACGCACTTTTGCCACTTTGTTCTATTTCTTTATAAATTGCACTTGTCGTGTCATACCGAGTTTAAATTTGTTTTTGTAGAATTCACAATTATTGTTTTTATCTTACACTCGCATCTAAACCGCCTCTCAAAGAGAACTGGACTGAACACTGTCGGTGAAAAACTTGAAATCCTCAATTTACTGCATGTTTCACATTTCATATAAATAAGTAAATATTTAGCTTATATCAGCTTATATATCATATTACGTTCAAGCGGGACCAGCAAAGTATGAATTATGTTGCGCAATACAAAAAATGTCAAGTATTCAAAACAAAAAAAAAAGGAAATCTTCTACACTTGTTTTATAAATGGATAGCTTGAGTTCAGATGTGCTAATCGTTCCTTAAGATGCTATATTTTATAGAAAAAACAGTCTGATTAATTGAAATTTTAAAAGAAAGGAAATAAAACAAAAATTTTATAAATACAGTCATCTCCTGCCTGCTTGAATATTAAAACTATTCACCTGATTAGTGCTGTTTTTTCGCATATAATTTTCATAATTCGATGCTACTATTTCAATGTTTTGAAAGCCCTTTCGGTTCAGAATCAGTATATATGGTGCTTATTAAGTTGTTGAACGCTTTGAGTGCAATTGTGTTCTTAAATGGAATACTTTGAAGCCATTTGAATACTTTGAAGCGTCGGTTCGGGGATGTTACTTGAACATAATTGGTATCATTCGCCCATTGTTAAATTTTTGCGCCTCAAGTGGTACTTATGTTTGTATATTTCGGAGCATCCACCTCATACGCATCTCCGTCATCTCAGCCTTGAACTTGTAACGAGTCATTCGGCCTTTCAATCGCTTAATATGCAAAAGAGCAAGAAACGGCATTGGCGCCATTGACGTTACTGCCATTTACGAGTATAGTATATAGACGTATAGTACATAGAGATCCAAAACCAATCCAAAGCGGTTATCAGGCTCTGCTGGCCTCTTGAGCCGCCTGTCAATTAATACTTATACTGCGAACTGCCCTTCGTAGTATGTATGATTTGGCAATTATCATTGCTTTTGTTTATGTTGTTGTTGTACCTTCTTTATTGCCTTGTTTTCGCACCCGAGTCATCCAATCACACTGGGCTTGACCTGCGCGGGACAAGTGCGGAAGGCCTATTTGTGGATCAGCGGCAGCAAGAGCTGGCTTTGTCATAGCAGAAGAAATAAAAACAGACGTAAAACGCTTCTATGCAAACGGTTTTATTTTTAATGAAAGTCATTTATAGAGCTCTGGTTATCTGTTATTTAGACCCCCAGCATTTGTTTTTGTCTATCAATGCGCACATTTAGTAGAAAAGCGGGGTGTGTGACAGAAGAAAAAAAAACAACCAAAGAGAGCGAACGCTGCTAATGATCGACTGAGCGATGCCCTTTATTGAACTTCAAGCAAATACTAGCAGTCAGATACAAAAGTGCTATTCTTTTAAATACTGTATCAGCCGATCAACAGACAGCTGTTCAAAAATAATCTGAACTGCACACATACATTGCTGTCTCTTTATCAAATGTCTAGATGGACATTCTATTGAAAATGTGCAGGTTTATAAAACTTAAAAATAGTAGAAAACAATTAAATTAAATAAACAGTATCCCGTACTCAAGTATACAAGTAGAAATGTGAATATGCGAAAGAAGATTATGTGCGTAGATGTCTTTTTAAAAAGTATTAGAAACCAAACGAATAAATAAAATATGCTTTTCAATTTGTAAAAGGTTTCACATTTGTTAAATTAAATAATCATTATACGTATATCAAAGTAAATAAGTTTGTGCTTAATTTTCTAAATTATTGTGTGAGGTTTTGAGCTTAAGATTATTTAAATAGTTTCTATGCCCTCCATTTCCCTTTATTAAGTGGTTAGGCATTGGGTCCGCCAATTGCTTTAGTGTTAATTGACTAATTTTCTTCCATTCTGCATTCAGAATGATTTTTTAAACTGTTTGATTGAGTCTTTTGGTTTTATGTTTGGCTGATAGGATTTCCCAGAGGTCTTCAGTTTGGTTTAAGTCCTGGCCACTCTAAAGCCGGCATATTTCTTGATGATATGTAGATGTGCCTTCGTAGTGTCTGCAGTGTGAATTAAGGAATTGTCCTGTTGAAAAATCCAATTATCTTCTTAAAGGTCTCCCGCAAATTCAACTAACAAAACTTTTATATTATATATATACCAGTAAGGTATTTGTTGACATAAGGAACTATTAATTTTTACCCATTCTGACAGCTGTTAAATATTTTGCATTAGCTTTAACCTGTGTATATAGTTAGTTTCCAAAATAGTTAACTGCATATTCAAGAAAAACTTCGATTTAGTAATTTGAAAATGATAATAATGATATATGGACTAGTTTTTTTCATTTATTATAACTGCTTTAACTTGATGAATTGGAATTGAAATAAGAGCGGCATTGAGAATTTCCTGCGTGCAAAATATATGAATAAAAATTTATTAGACGGCAAAAATGTTTGATCACAATCGACGCGATAATAAATGAGTTTATAATGTAATTAAATCTTCCCCTGATTTTCACTTGTTAACTTATAACACTAGCCCAAAAACTACACTGTGTACTACTTATGTACTACTTATAAATCTAATATTGTTTGCTTGGGAAAAGAGACAGAAAGCTTTAAATTTACGCCTGAGACCGTCTGCTGAACTATTTTTTCATGCTTTTAATTTGCGTTTCATTTTTAATTTATTTTAATGTAATGAAAAAAAAACAACCATCTACAACTACATCCGCATCCTACAGATTTATGTTTATTCATTGAGGAAGACTTATAAGCAGAAACTTTAAAGAAAAACTGAAATAGAAGTAGTAGCCCTTAATCATAGTCACAAAATCAAGAAATCACTCCATTGCTGCTTCAAAAAAACATTTTTAATTGCTACTGCCATTCAAATACAATTATAAAACGCACAGCTAGTTTTATATTAGTGATACATGTATATCTTAACGTAAGCTCAGTGATCCACGAGTAGAAATTAAAATATTTAAGATAAAAATGATCACTTTTCAGTCATACAGTTGTTTGTTTAAAGAGGTTTGCATTTGTTCTTAGCTTGATTGCTGTTGCGAAGAGTGATTTCTGATCAATTTGAGTACGTTGAATGCATTTTTCGAATGAAGTTCGATCACCAATCAATCGCGTTAATAAGTAGTTACATAATTAATAGAGCAACGTTGCAGTGTTTTTGTATTTGAATTTATTGACGAAAAGAAAAAGAAAATAACGCTCTAAACTGGCTAAGATTAAATTTGTAGGTGTGAAGTTTTTTCGGAATTTGGCAATAGATGTTGACGTCAAGCATCTGACTAAACTAGTGGCTTGACTTAGCTGAGCTAGAATACGCTGTTTATTATTATTGTTGTTTACTCGTATGCTGTTGCCACGCAGGCAACCAGGCAGAGCGCAAAAGTTGCAACAAGTTGCAGCAATGGGATGGCTGTGCAAGTACGAATGCAATAATGATAATATTGACACGATAATGCACTGAGTTAATATAGAACAAAGTTGCTATCAACACAACAACAGCAATAACAACAGCACAGGCAACAGTTGGAGGAAAAACAATACAAAGTTTTCAAAAGCGGGCGTGTCAAAGCCCAACGCAAACAAAGATTGATTAGAAACCAAAGTGCGAGTAAGTGGAGCAAAAAAGGGGGGCGTTCTACAACAGCAACAAAAACAGCAACAAAGTGCTCGGCTTGCCTGCATTTTGCGATTTATTTATGCTTATTTTTCTTTCTTCTTGTTATTATACCCTGTACCCGTAGGGTAAAAAGGGTATATTAGGTTTGTGCAAAGTATGTAACATGCAGAAGGAAGCATCTCCGACCCCATAAAGTATATATATTCTGAATCAGCAAGACGAGAGAAATCGATCTAGACATGTCCGCCCGTCTGCCTGTCTGTCCGTCTGTCTAGATGAACGCGAGGATCTCAGAAACTATAAAAGCTAGAATAACCAAAGTTGGTATCTAGATTCTCC